ACCAGCTTATTCACCCGAATAGCTCAGTTTATGCAACAAAACATACTTCCTCACTTTTCTCAAGAGATTAAGGCAAAAAAAGCTTAATTTGTGAAAAATACAGGAATTTAATGTGAATTAAACAATATAATCTATGATGCATGGGTACGAGTACAGGTACAGGTGCGGAAACAGGTGCAGGTATGGGCAGGACACGGCAAATTTAGGGTACGGGGGTACAACTATATATACATTGAAATTATTAATAATAATTTATAGGAGATTAGTATTTCTATAAAATTTCCGTAACATTTTTATGTTTCTTTTATTATGTATTATGTATTATGTAATTGAGTGTTTTAAAATAAAACAATGTATTATATAATTGAGTGCATATCTGAGTAAATGCATGTATATACTACAGGAATGTCCAAGGAATGTCAGATGCGAATGCAGGTACGGGAAGTGACGGGTACGGGTGCGGCTTCATGATTGAAGTGTCCATGCAACATAGAATATAACTGACCTCTTCAGCAAACTTGATCAAAATTGTTGTCCGCGGCCTCTGTAGTCCCTCCATTGGGACAAAATGCGCTGTAACTACGGCAACCTGAATTATCTAAGACACCCTTCAAAAGAATCAGTAAAATCGTCAGGATTCATGATTGTCATTTGTTAATCATATCTAAAGGCAAAAATATACATGTAACCAACAAATTTTAGCTCACCTTCACAATCCCGGCAACAAATGCCCCACAATTGAACATCCCCATATCTTTTGGTATGGAAATAAATCTTTCATTTAACAGTAGAAGAAAACGTTATCTTCAGAAATGCAGATACATAGTAATTATAACCCCACAAGGCAGCATAGATTACCGATTAATCAGAAGTTCCTTTTCACTGATCATGTATTCATCTTCATTTTCAGTTCCCTTCTCAAGTGAGTCGGCAATCTAAAAAATTGGAAGCAGGAGACACTATAAACCGAGCAGATGTTACATGAAGAAGAAAAAACGGAACCAAAGATGTAGAAGTAATACCAGCATCAATGGTTCACTTAATTATGTAACATGTGCCCCACAAGGAAATGGGATGTTTGAATTACGGAAAGTGATACTAGCATCTCTAGTGGTACCACCCTTCTCCTCAAATTTAGCACCAAGTTAGAGAGTTGATGTTTAGGTTGGCAGTACTTTATATTTTTTAACCACCAGAAGGAGTGGATTAAAATGTGTCACCTCACTATAAAGTACCAAATTTATGCTTGATACCAAATTTATGCTTGATACCAAATTTATGCTAGAGAGAGAGAGCACTATTCTTTTTGAGTTTCTGCTTTGAAATGAGATTGCAAAGTTCAAATAGGCTTCTAAGCAAGAAATATAATGAAAAGTTAATTTTAGCTAAACACCCCTATATATATTTTGCTAGAGTACCTTTTCTTTGAGTTTCTGCTTCAATAAGCTATAGTTCATTGGGTCTAATTGTTGTCCCAGACACAATTTAGATGGTCAAAGTAGTTAAAGAGTCCAAGTGTAAGCCCCACAAGAAAAAAGTGATGCCTAATAGTCTACCGAAAGGCCCTCTGATGATGAAATGAATGACTCAGCCTTCGAAGATACATAACAAAGACCGTACCAGAGATATCATAATAAAATTCACATAAGTGGGGAGTAGGGAAAAAGAGCAACAATAGAATTGGTGGTGCTTTATAAGATATCTTCCACAGAAGTGATACTTTTTATTTCTCGTAGTAAGATTAGCTACAAGGTAAAAGAACAAGCTTTTTTCTTAAACAATCACTGATGCAAACCTCTAAAATATATAAGTAGATTTCAGAAATGATAGGGCTATTTCATGAGGGCTTGGTGTGTAGTATTGTGCTGATAGTATATGATTTTGAAATTAGTATATGATGTTCTGTTGTTGTTTGACCTGCTATTAAGTCTTTGGGAGGGATTTTACCTTGTTGGTGATGTAATTTTGAAAAGTTTGTTGCTTTCACTCTTGAAGTTGGGGTGAAAGTTCTGATCATGTATACAACCATATGCAGAAATGTTAGCAGCTGGGGTTTCCTGTTGTGAAACCCCCATCCTTCTCCTCACACAAAAGCATGCACACACGAGCACACACAAAAGATAGGGCTATTGACTTTTGTAATAAAATAAATATCCACTCCATGCTGAAGAATAATTGCTTCATGAATAATATAACACTGATTAACATTAGATCACAGGTGTAACTGATAAAACCTCAATTAAGGAACTAAAATTGCAAAATTATTAACTGGAGGAGAAACCTTGCCAAATAGGACCCTCCACACCGTACTGTGTATGAATGAAAGAATTCCCAATAATCGCGTCTCCCTTCGATTACCCTGTAATAGCAAATTGAAACACATGATTAGTACACATTGCATGCTATCACAAACCGTATAATCTTTACAGGTGACCCTGACCTGCTTATACAGAGAAAGTGTTACATTTTAATGGCAAGAAGCAGAAAAGTATAAATTTGACAAAGCATTAGAAAAGGTAATAAAGTTTTCAATTTAATACACCGAAAGGACAGCCTCCAGTGGAAAGAATTTTGTCAACATTAATAGGTACACTGGAAATGAATTAAAAGGCATAAATCATGTAAAGGATTACATAATACGATCACCTCCAAGAAAAGGTAGTAAATAAAAACTTCCCTAGAAGAATGTAATAATAAAACAAAGGTCGAAAAGCATGCATCTTAGAATTTTGTATCTCAAACCTCATCTACCCTAGAAACAACTTCCAGAGTAAAAATAATTAGTCTACTCAAGTTAGGCTATTAGGAGTCATACATTTAACAAAGAGTTCTTTAATTTGGTAGTCTGATTTACATTGTTCTTTGGAACAGAAAACTATACCCCCTATAGACGTCCAACAAGTAACATGAGGTCAATCGTCCAACAAGCAACATGAGGTCAATCGTTTGTTAAGTCCTTCAGGCTCGAGCAGATGTCTATTCACAACCCTAATTTGATAGGGAAATGCCAACCTTCCTGAATTAAGGAGTAAAAATGAAGAGGTCTTCTTTTTCAGAAATTAAATTAGAAAAGACAAAATAATTCAGAAGTTGAAAGCTTAATAAAATTTCCTCTATAACATGTCCACTTCTCTAAGCTGCCATGTCTCACGGATGAATGCAGCTACCTGAAACAAATACTCTTCTTTTTTCGCTAAAGAGAATTAGAGACCCATTCTTTCCTGTACAAACTTAATAAGGCTCATCTCTATAGGGTACAGGACACGGAAAATTTATAAAAGGTAGGGTACTGGGACACGACTAGATGCATATATTGAAATTAATAATCTACATAAAACAAATATTACTTTCTGATTCATATGTTATGAGAATTAAAATTTCTAGAAATTTTTTTGTTATTTTGTATGGAAATTATAGATTAGAAAACCACTTGTTTTTTAACTAGATACCCAGATGATCTTTACAATCATAGCTTTGAACAAGACATGGACTGAAATGAATTCGATACATGTCCAACATGAAGTGAATGTGAAATATAGGACAAACGTCTATGAAGTGCATGAGTAGTGATTTAAACTAAAACATGTTATACAATTGAGTACATGTACATGTTTGAATAATGCACATGAATATTCAAGGAGTGTCCACGGGCCACGGCTACTACGGGTATGAGAACTGATTGTATGTACCAACAAAGTGTCCAAGGAATGTCGGTATCTGGTACATGCTGGATACGAGTACAACTTCATGATAGAAGTACCAGGGTAACACAGCTAGCAACCAAGCTTCTCGCATGCATAGCCATGCATATCATTTCCGACCTAAGAATTTGGCAATGCACATTGCATGAAATTTCTTACACATAGTTTCATTGACCAGAAAGTTAGCACTAGGGTATGGTCAATTTTTCTGTGAATTTTTCAGTAAAGATGAATGTAGTGCTGTAGCCGTCCATTCTCTAAGCAAATTGGTCAGCTAAGATGTTAGCCCTTGTCCAGTTCACACCGGCTTATGAGCGTTCATTGGAGAAAGTATAAAACTTTCAGATTGGCTATAGCTTTCCTGTAGCAGGATGCCTATATCCAAATGGCATCTTGTCATGTTTCACATTCTACTTAACTGTATTTCATGTATATAATTGACAAGTTCTGATCAATTGTGCCCATAGAATGACAAACTTAATGTACACTAGTAAATAAAGAAATTGACAATCAACGACTGAAACCAATTAAGAAGTTAGTTTTCTATTGATCTGAACATTCTTCTGAAGAATATATTTCATAATATAGAAGTTTCTCACAATAACAACCATCTTTCACTTGCATTCTCCCTAAAATAAAATCCACACGCGGCCAATGAATTAAATTAAGCCAATCAGCAATTGCAGAAAGAGAGAATTGAATTACCAAGACAAGGAAAGTCAATATGATACCTTTTCTCTGTGGCAATAAAGTTCAAGAACTCTTGCTCCAATAGCATAACCAGCATCCTCTAGCCTGCATATTGATGTGCATATGTCATTCTAAATCTGAACCGTGAAAAACTACATGTCATACACCATCCAAGTAAGGAGCCATTTAAAAATAGCTGACAAATAAATCGAAAAACACTCTACATTACCGGCGCTCCAGCTCTGCAATGTTGTCAACTTGTGTCTGATTGTATTGCACCAGTTCTGAAAATAGGAATGCAAATGCACTCAGGCTGACCTGCAATTAAGACAGCTTTGAGTAACAACTTTCCAGGAAGTCTCTCAAGCATGAGCGTGACACTTCAGCTAGATATGAAACTAAAAATGTACGCATGTGTATCTCAAACGGTTGATCCTCTTGAAAAATTATTCTTCGAATAAGGGAAGATTAATGTGTTTGAGTAAGATACTTACTTCTTCAAGTTTCACTTAAAGCACTGAGAAAAATAATTTACACCCGGTGCATTTATTATGATTTAAACTTGACATGATTTTTTTTTAATTACTTTTGAGCAACAAGAGAAATACGACAATAAAACAGAACCAGAAGGATGCATGTTAATAATGTACTTGAATTTATTTGTCTTTTACAATTACATTATTATTAAAAAGAAAAAAAAAGAAAAAGTTCTCTTCATAAGGATCGAAAGGTTTCCCAAAATTTTACAATATTAAAGTCGCACATCATAAAACTGATTACGCGCCAAACAACCCCCAATTCAAGATCCAGACTAATTATGAATGAATCCAAAGAGAGAGAAAATCCGAGGACCAGAAGAGAAAGGGGATTAGGGTTAGGGAATTATACCTCTTGCCGTCCTTTGCTGAGGGGTTTATCGAGGACATTACCGCACTTCATCTTCCCCTTGATTCCAGACCCCGGATCTCAGTCTGCTGAAAGCATCGCCTCAGCCCACGGGCCACGGGCAGGGGGTAGACCCAGAACCAATTTCGTTTCGTATTTCGCTAAGCGGGTTTCGGTCCTTTCGGGTCACATTCGTCGCGGAAAGGCTGGCTTCGCACCCTGAGGAACATGAAGCGGGAAATTAGTCACATCCATATAAGCTACTTTTGCCAGCCTTGTTTCCACGAGCCGGAAATTAGTCACATCCATATATAATAAGGTGTGGGATAATTATTTTACAAAATTTATTCCCAGTATATTAAAACTTGTTGTTCCTTTAGGCCCCGTTTGGCAAAGGGTTAATGAAGAGGGGTTAAAGAGAAGGATTAATGTACTTAGCCCATTTGATAATCCGAAGGACTAAATTATTAACCCGTTAAATAAGTTTTATTTTAGCCCTTATGATCAGTTTTAGTGTTTGGGAATAACAATAATTTTGACTATTTTCTTTATAATTAGAAGGGTTAACTCTTATTCCATCTAAATAGGAGTATTAGTAAACCCCTCATTTTGAGGGGTTAACTCATTTTAACCCCTCTAGAGGGGTTAGCTTAGCCCTTCTATATTTTTTATGTTTGGCAAATCATGGAGTGTTAACTCACTTTAGACTTATATAGATTTTTTATGTTTGACGGGTTAACGATGGGTTAAGTCTCCTTAACCCCTCACTTAACCCTTTGCCAAATGGTACCTAACTCACTCCATGATTTGCCAAACATAAAAAATATAGAAGGGCTAAGCTAACCCCTCTAGAGGGGTTAAAATAAGTTAACCCCTCAAAATGAGGGGTTTACTAATACTACTATTTAGAAGGATTAAGAGTTAACCCTTCTAATTATAAAGAAAATAGTCAAAATCATTGTTATTCCCAAACACTAAAACTGATCACAAGGACTAAAATAAAACTTATTTAACGGGTTAATAATTTAGTCCTTCAGATTATCGAATGGGCTAAGTACATTAATCCTTCTTTTTAACCCCTCTTTCATAACCCTTTGCCAAACGGGGCCTTAAAGATTCTCCTTGATTGGTTGCAACGCTTTTCTCATGGGATAATAGATAAATTTATTCTGACTGATCTCTTCTTTTCTCTCCAATCTGTTGGTTAGCGAGCCGAGTGAGGGAAAGCTAGCAAGAAATTAGCTCGTAGAGCGGAAGTTAGTAGAGATAACGAGTAACAAGATTGACAGCAGGAGAACACCTTGGCTTTAGGGATGTCCATTCGGGCTAGCCCGGGCCGAAAAATCGGGCCCGGGCCCGGCAAAACCGAAGCCCGAACCCGGGCCGGCCCGGTTTTTTTTATTTTTTATTATTTTTTTAATTTTTTAAAATTTTTAAAAATCCCCATAAATCATAAAATATACATAAAAATTACAGAAAATGACATAAAATTTTTAACTAACTTGAAATGACATAAATTACAAGTACAAAAAATTATAAAAATGAAAGATGATAGAAATAACTTCTTTATTAATAATCAGGAAATCCTTTACAAGTATAAATTTACTTCAGAATTTGTCGCATCACAATAGATGAGTACACCCCAACTAGGTTGGCACCCACTCACCTATATCACTATCATTTGTAACTTTTTTCGAAATAATTCATTACAAATTTAAAGCTAAGAAATAAAAATTACAATTTGATGAATATTATCTAATCTTTATACCTATCTGCTAGTCCCAACTCTTTAAATTTATCTTCACTAATCTTTATACCTATCTGCTAGTCCCAACTCTTTAAATTTATCTTCAATTCCAGCCATCCGATCGATGTCTTACGTTCGCTTCTCATACCTCCACCAATCTTGTAAGCACATCATCGCTTGTACAGTATACAGATCTAAGCATGTCCTGTGGTCGTCGATCAAACGTCCTATTGTGCTGAAGGCGGATTCCGAAGCTACCATCAAAACTTGCACTATTAGTAAGTCACGAATCATGGTGGAAAGTATAGGATATGAAACTGATCCATATACTCTCCACCATTGTAAAATATCTAAAGCATTTCCTTGACATTTAACTAAGAAAGCAGATAAATATTCATCTATTTCAGAAACCTCTAATGCTGATCCAAGTCCAGATCCACCAGTTAGTTCAGCTACCATTGCATACCTATCAAAACTTACACTTTTACCTCGGCTTGTGCTCGAAGGCGCCGAAGCTGTAGACTGTTGTGCAGCTACAGCATGTCTACCTGCATACTCATCATATAATATTTGAAAATAATTTCTAATAGCTAAATGATGAGAAGTAGCAGTAAGGGTGGATCCATCATCTAAGTCTATAATCTGTCTACCATATAATGATTGTAACAAACTTTGAAGGCCAATATCCTTCAAACATGGATCAATAAGAATCCCCAAACCAAAAATATGAGGAATAGGCCTAAAATACTTATTAAATTTGCTCTCCATTTGAAAAATTATATTTCCAAAAATATCATCCATACGATATTTGGTAAAAAAAATTTGAATATTTAAAATTTGTAAAGCAGCTAAAGTAATGGTTGGATAATAACAGCCAGATAATAACATTACAGCATCATAAAAAACTTGTAACATTTACATATAACTGTCCATTCATCTTCAGTTATTCCATAAGCACTACCAGAACTAGAACTAGAAGCATAAAAATTTATAAAATCATTTATAATTTCTTTATATTCTATTGCTACATTTAACATTGCATAGGTAGAATTCCACCTGTTATCAACATCTTTTGGAATTAGTCTGGGCTTATAATTTTTTTTACAACATTGTTTCCATCTTTTAATTCTCATTTCAGAAGCATTATGCATATTAGCAACAGTTCTAACATTTTCTATCATGAGTTTAATTTCAGAAAATACACTTTGAACAATTAAATTTAAAATATGACAGATACATCTAATATGAAAAAGTTCACCATGACATGACAATAACAAAGTTGTTTTGATAAAATCAACAGCTATATTATTATTACTTGCATTATCTAGGAAAAGAAAAAATATTCTTTGATCAATTTTTAGTTTCATAAGTTCTTCAATTATTAAATTTGCAACATTAATACCAGTATGTGACTCTTCAATTATAATAAAAGAAATAACTTTTTTAAATATTTACTAATTTTTATCAATCCAGTGTGTTGTGATACATAAATAACCAGTTTGCACTCTAGATGTCCAAATATCAGAAGTTAAAGAAAATTTATAGTTTAAATTTTTAAAATAAGAAATTATTTTTCCTTGTTCCTCTTGATAATATTTTAAAATATCACGTTGATAGGTTTTTGACGAGAAAATTTGGTAAATGCGGGATAAAAATCATCTCTAAACAAATCTTCAAATTCGTCATATTCTACTAATCTAAAAGGAAGGTTTTTAAGAACGATAAACCTGATTACGTATTTCCTGGCTCGGGCAGCGTCATAACTCCAACTACCGAGACTATCAGAAGAGGAGGATTGAGAAATCATAGATTGTCGGATATCACCTTGAAGATTCTGACCTTTGTTGTGTTTTTTAATATGGCGTTTGAGGTGGTTGGTGCCGCTCTTATGATAAGATTAGAAAATCTGGCCGCACAACGCACATTTAACCTTGTGGGTGATAATCCTACCGTGTTCATTCTTGGTGATGTCTATCTTCTCAAAAAAATTTTACACATCGGAGCTCGGCCTTTTAGGAGCTCTTGGTGCAGATTTGTCGCCACCAGATTCAGGATTAACACTGGTAGGAGGAGTAGTTGTTGTAGGAGGACTCATTTCTGGATCAGTAGGAGATAGATTTTGCTCTTCATATTCAGATCCAGAAGCCATTTGATGGAAGTATTAGAAAATATAATAGATTATAAGAAAGTATAATATTTTATAAGAGAGTATTAGAGAGAAGTAGATGAGTTTTGGTGTGAGGAGAAGAAGTAAAAACTCTCCTCTATTTATAGAGGCAGCCCCCTAGGTAAATGACCAAAAAACCCTCACATTTTGACCATTTTTTGACCGTTGTTGGGGGCAAAATGGTCAAAACCCCAATGTGGTCATTATGGTCGGGCCGGGCCGGGCCGGCCCAGCCCGGCCAAAACAGCCCAACGGTCACCTTAGGTGACCATTGGGACCGGCCAGCCCGGATCTCGTGCTCGCCCCGGCACTGTTTCGGGCTGGGCCCAGGTCCGGACCGGTTTCTAAAAAACCGATCCGAGCCCGAGCCCTGACCCGGGTCTGTCCCGGGCATCTGGGCAAAACCCGGGTCGCGGGCTTTTTGGACAGCCCTACTTGGCTTTCATGACTTTTTGTGTTCTCACTGCCTGTTGTCTCTCCTTCTTTACTAACTATGCTAATATGACCTTGTTCACTCCTTATCTCGCTTTAAAAGAAGAGCGTTAAACAAATAACAACGTGAAGAAAGAATAGGAAAGATGAAAATGTTCAATTGAGAGAAGAGAGGAAAAAATAATGGTTCCTCTTTAAAATTGCATAAACCAGCTATATCACTTTACCAGTTATATCAAAGCTGAATGCTCAAGCTCATTTTATCCGGTTACATCTAAAGATGAATGGCCAAGCCTATTTCCAGTCCTCTAGCAAAGAAAGAAAATAAAAATGAAAGAAATAAAAATTTTAACTCACTTTCGTAGAAATTGCAGTTGTATTTAGTGCATACAACAAGCCTTTAAATCCCTAAATTATCTTAGAAGACGAGTTGTAGTCTTGTGAGGGTTTGCAATGAATATAACCAGAATATTCGGTCAACTTGCCATTTTAAATAAGTCAACATGGAATTAATTCACTTGATATTTTTAAACAATCTAATTAAAGTTAATTTTTACTCAAGAAAATATTTTTATGCGTAACTATAAAGTAAATACTAAATCTAACTTAGGGACTTTATTTTGAAATTCTAAAAAGGATATGCTAATTCTTTATTTTAATCAATTCCCAAGCCTTTTTGATCATTTTATTTGCAAAGAACACACACACACACATCTCTTTACTCCTTTGTGATTTTTTTCTATTTTTATTTTTATGTGGCTCTTCTAAGTAACCATGTAATGAGCTTTGTACCAATGGATTCTAACCCAATTGTCATAGGTTATTAAGTATAGAAGCACTCATCATCCCTGATTGCTCAGTTAATTTAGGCTTAGTAAGAATCAC